ATTATACCGTATTATTTATTTCCGCTGCGCAGGTTCCAGGTTGTAGAGGAATCAGGTGGACAGGTTTATTAGCTTCATCAGCTTCAACAACAATAACAGCAATTATAGCAATTAAAATTATAGCTTTCATTTTTGACTTATTGCGTATAATGTACTGATTATATAATCATCTACTGACACAGATTTCGTTGTCTGACTAATTTATAGGAAAATTCTTATCAACAATAAAGTATATCGGATACATAAAATAGAAAACGTGAAACTTTTAATTTTTTAGTTATAATAAAGTATATCAAGCATCGTGAGATGCGCAGTAGTTTCAAAAATATCTGTCAATAAATGTTTTCTTATCAACGGTGCATCATATTTTAATAAGTACATAACATTGCTATATTTATAATGTTTTTCAGCGGTAGCAGATAAGTTAAGTCGAAACATGTACCGCGTACATTCATCTTAAATTTGTTTGTATTATAAAATTAATAAATGCTGTCATCTTCGTTATAATTTGGCCTTGTTAGTTTGGCCTAACTTCATTAAATTTTTTATTTATATAGATTTATATGTATTGTGGGAATTCCTTGCAATCGTATAAATATACGATATACGCAAAATATGCAATACGTACGCGCGTGATTGTTTTTATCTGCTGCCGTTGAAAAACATCAAATATAGCAATATATATGTTACGTACTTATTAAAATATGATGCACGGTTGATAAGAAAATCATAATTACATTTATTGACACATATTTTTGAAACTACTGCGCATCTCACGATGCTTGATATACTTTATTATAACTAAAAAATTAAAAGCTTCACGTTTTCTATTTTATGTAGCTGATATACTTTATATATTGTTGATATAAATTTTCCTATAAATCAGTCAGACAACGAAAACTGTGTCAATAGATGATTATATAGTCAGTATATTATATACGCAATAAGTAAAAAATGAAAGCTATAATTTTAATTGCTATAATTGCTGTTATTGTTGTTGAAGCTGATTTTCCATCTGGACCCTGCGCACATGAAATATCTTATATTGTATAATAAAATTATTTTGTTAATATTCTAAACAATACTTATTAAAATAAAACGATATATACTATCTCATATATACTATATGTAAAATGCATATAAATTGATTGGATTGTTCATTTAAAAATTAATTATTAGACTTATTACACATGAAATTGCTTATTATTTTCAAAAGGACATTTATTGTAAAGGACATTTATTTATTGACATTTATCTCAGCGGAGATTTATTGAATTCATTCTCCCGCTGCACTTATAGCGCGCGCGCATTCGAATCCCACTTAGCAGAGACTCAAACCCCATTTAGCGAAGATTCGAACCGGATATTTTTAGGGTGCCGTCCCATGGCAGAGATTTTTCATGTAACGCGTATCGCGTAACCAATCGGAAGCATTACGCGTTTTCTGATACGCAAAATTTATTTCCATATGTCCCATGATACGTAAAAAAATTAGATAGCGTACATGATAGCCAATTATATCCAATAAAAATTACAAAGGTCGCAATTCATAGATTACGCGCATTTATAATATACTCCATATGGGACATATGGGAAATAAATTTTGCGTAACAGAGAAAACATTGTTGATTTGGTAGCACTGCGAGAATAGTGAGAATATTCCGCTGATCCACCGCACGGCGCACCGCGCACACCGCACGACACTGTTACAAAATGGCAGGCGACAAGATTGTTGATTGTACACAAAACGGCAACAGCGAGAAAATAAGCGAGAATGGTGACTTGAGTCTCAGTCTGAATCTGGAGGATGATTTCGTTGAGTCGATCGAATACGTTCCTTGCCCCGAATTTCAATTCTCGGTAAGCCGATTTCCGTTGTAACTTTCTCTTTTTTTTTTCTTTCGATCATATCACCGTATTTTGCCAACGTTTCGTGTTAACGTACGATTTTGCACTGATAATCGAGCATCGTGTATGATTTTGAGGTAAAGACGAGCATATTAAACGCACTTATATCTGTATTTATCCGTAAATTATTTCTCTGTGCGACGTGTTTATCGATTTAATAATTACCTATATGACTTGGTTAACTGTTAAGGTAATCATTTCGTTCCGTTATAGATATTATCATTTATTTGTTATAAGTGACATATATATTTGTCGATAATAGATTGACTAAACTTAAATTTTGATGTCATTTCATAATTTTCCTTTCATTATATTAAGACTCCATAAATTTTTATGCATATATATATATATACATATACACATGCATATATTATATGTAAGTTTTTAATTTACAGACAACGGCATGTTATATTTGCAATGGATATTATGGACCATGTTTTGAAGAACCAGTCTGTGCGACGTGTCATGCATTTCTATTCCCAAATGATGTCGATCTACTCCAGGTGCCAATTTTCAGTGAGGTACAATATACATGATACAATTTGATTTTGCAAACTTATTTTATCTAATTTAACATAATAATAATAATGTATATTATGCTAAATTAGATTAGACCTTATATATCTATATATATATATAGATATATAAAATATGTTAGTAAATTACTGGCAAGCATATATTATTTTTAACTTAAATGTTAATAAATAATTAGTATCAATAATCAATATCTATTAAAATATTAACCTTTTTATATTGAAAATTACAAAAATTACAAAAACACTATGAAAATCAAGTCTATGAATTATTTATGATTTATTAAGAATAGAGAACTTTTGGGAGATAAAATATTTTATGAGCATGAAATTTAGTAACAGCACTATTCCAAGATATATTACCATTGATAACAGATTTTATCACGAAATTTTTCTAGGCATACTACCTAAGAGAATGAATGTTCACGTTATTAATATTAATGCTAATCTTGTATGTGTGCTTTTTTAAACAGAAAACGGATGACGAAGATTCGGGAAATGACGAGCCGACTGATTTATACTATAATCACGAGAGGAGAACTAGTCAGCAGCAGCAAAATTCTCCGCAGAGCGTCAATCCTAACATCCCAAACGCACAGCAGAATCCACTCAATCATAACGCGAACGTTTCGCGCCGTTGTTACGCGCAGCATCAAAACGCGGCGCCTCAGTGCAATTATCACGTGCTCCAGAGCAATTCGAATAGCAATTCCGTTGACAAGTGTGTAGCAGCGTTTGCGCGAAACCGGACGAGGGGCGACTGCGACCATCTAAACTGCGCCAGTTGGAATCGAGATGAAATCGCACAGGAGAGAAGGATGATAGAGGAAAGTTTCCGAATGCCGGAGATGTTCGAGCCTAGGTACGACGTCGTGCAGTATCATTGGAACTACAGGGCGTACGACAGGGAGGACGCGGGTGAGCCGTCGCGGCCGTACAATCTGTCGGAGCGGCTGGAGATACTGTCGAATCACAAACATATTGAGCACGAGCCCATCAACGAACCGGGTTTAGTGGAAAGATTGCCGCCCGAGGTGCTGCTCGCCATCTTCTCGCATCTCGACGACATCAGTCTGTGGTCGGCAGCGAATGTCTGTCGACGATGGTGCGGCCTACTGTCGACGCACGTCACGCAGCTGCAATGGAAACAGCATGTGAAATTACGCTGGCCTCTGTACAAACCCATCGGCTGCATCAAGAATTGGTACAAGGTGTACGATTATCTGGCCTCCTCGGCACCATGTCGGACATGCTTGGCGCAGACCTCTCTGCGATCAGAATGGAGGCCGCCCAGAATGGAGGAGAATTCTTGGCGGAGAAACAGGTTACGTAGCGAGCTCAAAAGCTTGAGGATTGATCCACCGGAAGGCATTGAGGCGATGCCTCTCGATCATATGTGCTGCCATTGGCAAGCCACTATCACGGGACCAGTGGGAAGTCCGTACGAGGGAGGATTGTTTTATCTATATCTACAAGTACCGTTTAGGTATACATTAAACTTGCTCGTTTACAGCATTTCATCTTTCTAATAAAATCTCTGAGAAAGTGTTAAAATTCAATTGTAAAATTGAATTAAAATTTGACTGTAAAAATATCTCAAAAATTAAAAAACTTAAATAGATTGCGATATAAAAACTAGAGCTTCATTTTTTAAATTACTTTTTACTAAATTTTGATGGGCATAAAAACTCTAATGGGCTCAATTGTCGCATAAAAAATTCCGACAATTCTCCTTACAGACTGCGTTATATATCAATATTCTACGTAATGTATATATACTTTTTACAGTTATCCTATGTGCCCGCCTGTAGTGAGATTTCTAACGAAAATACTTCACCCGAACGTATCGAGGCACGGAGACGTTGGTATTGACTCGATACATCACAATTGGTCGCTAGCTCTCACGATATCTAAAGTTCTTATCAGTGTACAAAGTCTGCTTACGGATCCGTACTGTCAAGTAAGTGTATCATTTTGGAATCAATCTATTCGATAAAAATATTTAATAAAACATTTGCCTTAATTATTTATTTCAATTTTTAAAAATTTTCAAATTAATCTATAAATCGATATCATATATTAATGTGTATTTATATCGATATCGAGAATTATCAAGACTAGCAATGATATATTTGAATTATTACTGATGTTTGATTGTGTTATTAACAGGTTTGTATGGAACCAGAACTAGGAGAGATGTACATGAACGATCGCGAGAAGTTCGAAGAAGTAGCGAGGGCGTGGACGTGGAGGTATGCAATGCACGATGTCATAACGCCGCTCTAGTGCACCGGAATGTATAAATCGCGATTAATCCGGTGTAATTAATGTATACCTAGATACTAATTAGTAGACCGTAGATATCACATAAGCGTATTTAATAAATTGATAATGATTTGTGATACATTGTGCTAAAAAAAAAAAAACGAACAGATCTACTGAAAACGACTGTGTATTTATAGGAAATATTGTTAATCATGATCATGTATTAGCGAGATCAAATTCGAACCTTTTTTACCCCAAAGTTCATTACAAAATGTATACATTAATATTCTTAATGTTGTTATTTCAATCGTTGCAATTCCTATAAAATAATCATCAATTAAAGGATTCCTTGGAAAAATATTGTATCCAATATTTTTTAAATTTTACAGGAAATAATAAAAATGTTAGCCAATGCACAAGCAACGTTTTTCTAAGGATCCCTTCAATAATTACAATACAATAATATATTATTTAATATAATATATATATATATATAATTTAATATATATTATATTCTCTTATACAGTAAATGTTTAATCCTCTTAGCTTTCTTTTGACAAAAAATACAATTATACCACTGCATTTGCCACTCTCGTGTTTTTCTCTGTGCAGCCATCGTAGATATGTATGTATGTATGTATGTACATACATAGGTACATACATACCTGTTTCGCGTGATTTTCTAACCTAAAATACGCTCTATCGCCTCTGTCGTACAGTTCGACAGGCTCAACAGCTGTCAACGGCTGTCAACATTGACGTATAAAGATCGACGTGCGTTTTATGAAGGAGAGTCCGGCATTCGGGAAAAGAGGAAGGATACCTCGCGCGGGCGCCTGGTATACATTTCGAGCTCGCGCGACTCGGCTTCGGACACGGCACGCTCGCGGGCGGCCGACGCGGGGTGATAGGTATGATTTGAGCGTAAGATGATATTGCGGAACTTACCATTCGCGCAATGGGTTCTGATCCTGATCCTCGTCGTCGTGATAGTCTATCTGCGGCTGCGATTGAACGACCTAGAGGAGAGTTACAAAACACTCCGTATGTATATTCCGATATAACCTCAAACGCGCAACCCCGAGATTCACCGCAAAAGTTGAGCGGGAATGTGACTACGGATTTTTCCTCTCTAGATGAAGTCGTCGCGCGAATCGATGCCAGGAATGACTACGGGCGCGCTGAAGCGCGAGGAGGTAACGAGGATGATCTGGAGGACGTCGTTATGATATACAACAGAGTGCCGAAGACCGCATCCACCAGTTTTATGGGATTGGTTTATGACCTGTGCAAGCAGAACAAGTATCATGTGCTACACATCAACGTGACAAATAACATGCACACTCTTACGTTCGCTAATCAGGTGTGTAAAGGAACACTCACGTTAGGAGCAGAAAAGTAAAATTCGTTAGCACCGATCACAAGTTACATTAATAACTATCAGTATGTTCTGCTTCCATAATTCTGAGAAAATGCTTGAACAGGAATTTTAAAAAGTGAAAAAAATTATATCTTTTTTATTAGTAAATACTATGTAAAGCAATGGAACGGCAGAAAATCAGAAACTAGCAGTTCTCTGCTTTTCTGCTCCTTATGTTTACTAAGATACATGTTAGAGTAGTATAAAAGTACATCTGAACATAAGAAAATAAGTCTGCGTTTCAGTTCTGTTTGCTATATATTTTTTTTTACAAAGCCCAAATATGTGATATTTTATGATGGATGTTATCAGTTAACACAGATATGTACAGTCTTAATAATATACAGGTTCAATTTGCAAATAACATTTCAAACTGGAACAGTATAAAACCAGCGTTTTACCATGGACACATGGCATTTTTAAATTTTGGAAAGTAAGTACGGCAAGGTTTCTCTTCCAGGAAGGTAAAATAAATATTCATTTTACTTAATACATTCTTATTTTCCAGATTTGGTACTAAACGTATGCCTTTGTACATAAATTTGCTGAGGAAACCTTTAGACAGATTTATATCATATTATTACTTCTTAAGATACGGAGATAATTTTAGACCTCATGTTATAAGGAAGAAACATGGAGATACAAAGGTTTGTACATTTATCCGAAGATAATATAAGCACATATATATATATATATATATATATATATGAATAATTTTTTCTCAAATTATTTTGTCTAGACATTTGACGAGTGTATAAATAGTGGTCAACCTGACTGTGATCCTAATAACATGTGGCTGCAGATTCCATTTATATGTGGCCACGATCCAGCTTGTTGGTAAATTTTCTTCTTTTTACAATAGTTTTAAAAATAAAACATTTTAAATGAAATACTAAAATTGATTTTTACAATAAAAAAATTTTTTAATTAATAAAAAAAATCATATTTATTTTCACATAATTAATATTGTCAAATTGTCATAACTGTGAACATAGTTTATTTCGTTTTTGGTTATGAATAATTCATTTTCAAATATAGTTATATTTAATAAATAACGAAATGAAAGGAGAGTTTTCGATATATTTTACAAGTCGATTTTATGGATTATTTTATTGAAACATATTTCCATTTTAATATATTTGGCAAGAATTTTATTGTATATTGTTTCTGAATTCACAATTTCGCATAGTTACAATTTGAAATAGTAAGTGAATAGGAGTCTTTTAACTGGACGTTAAGATATACAATAATTATTATCAGCGCTTTACCGCGATATTGTTTTTTCAAGGGAAATTGGCAATAGCTGGGCATTAGAGGAAGCCAAACGAAATCTACAAAGGTATTACTTTCTTATCGGAGTGACGGAAGAGTTAAACGAGTTCGTAGAAGTACTAGAGATTGTACTACCACGATTTTTCAAAGGGGCATACAACCTCTTCTTACATAGTAAGTGTTCGTAAAAATTAATAAATTATCTTTTTCGAATAAAGAAGAAATAATTTCGTTTATTATATTATCACAGTTAAAACAATATATCAGAAGACGTTGATTTTTTTCTTTGATTTTTAGACAACAAGTCACACCTACGTCAAACTACGCAGAAACTCAACCCATTACCTGAAACAGTGGACAAGATCCAGCAATCGGTTGTGTGGAAGATGGAAAATGAATTCTATAATTTCGCTTTAGAACATTTTCATGCTGTGAAAAGACGACTCATAAATGCTTCCCCTCAAGATGCAAATCAGCGTTTTATGTACGAAAAGATACGGCCAAAGTAAACTACTTTTTTACATAGGATTTTACTCTTGAATAACGCAATAATGCAATCGACTGTGAAATGTGTATTTATTGTAATTATCAGCGAGGTAATTTTTGTATGAAATGAATTTATAGAATTTATGTTAATATTTATTTTCTTTCTACATACGAAATGTGCAATGTAAGAGCTTTCTTTTCGATGTTGTTCGTCTTAAAAAAAATTGTTTTTTAATGAAACTAAAATAATTTAAGAAAATTATAAAAATTAAATAAAATAATTTAGACATCTACCTAAGAGTGTAAGAAATTAGAAATTTTATTCGTATATTACGCATTATTGACTTTGATTTACTTGACTTGTTGGTCTAAGGGCAAACATATAAACTGGATATAAACCGCGTGGGAATTTCGTCTGCTGTTGTTCCTTAATAATAATAAGGTCAGCCTTTTCAAATAAAGATAGCAAACTTTTCATTGGTCTCGTTACGGAAGAGTCTTCCTTATCAATTTCTATTTTATTTGAAGTTGTGATATTTTCTTTCACCACGAGCACACCGTTGTCTTTCAAGCCCAATCTGTAAATCCAACTGATGAGAAACAGAACACTTTGTGCTTCCTCTATGATAAAGTGAAAATAAAACTTACGAGCATTTTCTGAAAAATTCTATTAAATCGTCGTCTTCCAAATGCCCCAATACCCATTGACACCATATAAGATCGTACTTATTTGCCGTAGGACAGAAATTTTGCAATCCTTAAAAGAGATGAGCATATTTATATAATGTATCATGCCAAGTCTCAATCTTATATTGATTTCTACCAATGCAGATTAACTTTAATCTTGGTTTAATTTACTCTTTAAGTATCCTTTTCTAATTCTTAGCATAGAATTTAGAAAAAGATAAAAAACAGTGTAGCAAACCGAGATTAAAGTTAATCTGTATTAGTAGAAAAAGGTATTAGATAAATTTATTACCAATAGGATAATATTGACCGATTCTCGATGAACAATTCTCCAGGGAAATCTTCGCTACTTCTAAAAACTTCGAGTTTTGTTCAACAAGGTCTATATGTTTGAAAAATTTCAATAATAAATTCTTCGTAATTCTACCGATACCAGCACCGCAATCTAGGGCAAACGCTTTAGAAGGTGGATTTTCTAACTAAAACAGAACAATATATTTTCAGACACATCTCATTTCTTTCTACATGAACACACTTTCTAAATAAGTAATTTATTACAATTCTTAATGTCCATTTTTAATGTAGATTAACTTTTTTTTAATAATATAATTAATCTTGGTTTAACACTAACTTTTTAGTCCTTTTCTAGTCCTAGGAATAGAAAAATATAAACAGTAAATTAAATCGAGATTAAAGGTAAATTATGTTGATAAAAATGGACATTATATATATGTAAACTGATTTCCCCAATATTTTGATCTGAATTATTTCAATACAAATATAAAAGTATTCCATGCAAATTAAGAGACACGCTATATATTTCTTTCTATTTTATATCAACTAATTTTCAATCAGATTAAGAATATTGAACATTTAATTTAGAGAATTTATATAATTCATTTTAATTTTTTATCAAACGTGCAAATGTAGAGATAGATTTGCGAAATGTATTGATAGGTTAGGCTGGAACAATATATACCTCAAAAAGAGATTTTAAGAAGAGCGTGGAGCCCTTTATGTCAGTCTGCGAGATGAATCCGAAGCCACCAAGCATCCCGTCCACCGTTGGCGGGATGCGGTCCCAATATTTCGCGGCAGCGGTGTAAAATTCGCCCTGACACGCGGTCGCGACATACTGCGGCTCTTGCATTTTCGCACACTGCGGTCTGCGGTTTTCACAAATAAGTCCGCATTTTATTAGTATGATTCTCTTTACGATGTTTCTCACGTTTTCATCACGATCAACATAAGCACGATTTAGGACACGTAACAAAAACTGTAACTTGCTGTAACCGTGACCTTTAGCAAAAGACTCGATGTTTTGGGAGGTTGGATTTGAAAGGAAAAAGATACATGATGTATTTATTGACATTTGACATAAGCGATTCTCGAAATCTACGACGAAAATCGAAACTTTGGATTCAGTCGAATTATCGCAATATAATTTTTTTAGCTATTTAAGAATTTCTAAGTTTTAATGGTAAAGTTACAAATTAAATTAATTCTTAAGATTCAGGAGTGTAATTAGACGAGAGGTGATGCAAATAAAAATTTCAAGAAATGTACTTTATTGCAACTTAGCTTACTGATTTAAATGTACTTTGATGTAGCTTAATTTATATAAATGTACTCTGATATAAATACATTATTTATGTATATTTTATTTTATGCTCGCAGAGAAACAAATTGATGAAATACGTCCAAAATATGAGGATCGAGGTCTGGAGTGAAAAGTAAAGTTTCCAACGTTGATGAATACTTTTGTACTTGCTCTTGATGCTGTAAAATAGATATGCATATGTAATAAATGTCTTCCAATAATAATAGACAATATAACATATACATATATATATTATTTATATACATGGACGTTCACAGGAGGGAGGGCAGAAGGGGCATTTGCCCCCCTCCCTCGAATCAGACAAATACAAGAAAATTCAGAATTTACTCTGATTTTTACAAATAATAAATATATTTGTCAAATGTGAGAGAGCTTAAGTACAACACAGATACACAATGTTCAGACATTTGTTCCTCGCGGTAGTTTGTACTAAAAATTTGGATCATGCAAACAAATGTCTATGTATAACAAATGTCCGAATGTTGTGTACCTGTGTTGTACTTAAGCTCTCTCACATTTGACAAACATATTTATTATTTGTAAAAATGAGAGCAAATTCTGAATTTTCTTGTACTTGTCTGATTCCTCTGATTATTATATATATATATATATTTTTTTTTCCGTATATTGAACATTATATCATATAATAATAATCAATTTATAACTCACAGACAAGAAAACTTGTTGCAATCTTCCAATAGTCCATTTATACCAATGCGTATTACAATCAATTCCATCAGTGTCGCAGCGAACTAAATGTTCTGATAGGATCATTATAAATCGCTAAAATCACAAAAAAAGAGATAAATAAATTAATATATTACAATTATATAAATCTTATCTAAAATAGGAATTTAGAAATTCTTTCATATTGTATCGATGAAAATACGACATTCGCGGACTGTTTATATAAGTGATACACGCTTTTGTACCTGAAATATAATGAGGAATAAATTTTTCTGATCTGCTTGCGCGGCTTCCAACTTTTCTTCCATTCGTTCTACTACGTCCTCCGATGGTCTCTCTCTATTTCTCTCCTTATTAGTGTCCTCCTCGTCCGAAGAGGAACCCGA